TGATCTATTGTTTGGACGCCCTCCGGATGCTCCTTCATCGTCTGAGGGATATATTCAAGATCTCCAGGCCCGGTTTGAAGTGATGCACAACTTTGCACGAGAGCGAGTCAAACTTGGCGACGGAGAAGATGAAGACCCGCTACGACACAAGAGCTACTGAACATCAAGTTCCACGAAGGAGACAACGTGTGGTTGTGGAATCCGACTCGACGGAAAGGACTTTGTCCGAAATTACAGTCACCTTGGGATGGCCCGTACACAGTCCTAAAAGGCTGAATGACGTCGTGGTTCGGATTCGTAAGTCTTCGAACTAAACCTAAACCTAAAGTCGTTCATTACGACAGGTTAGCTCATTACTATGGCCATAGTACGTAATGTAAATAATTGTAAATAGTATCAGACCATGGTCCTTTTTTGTTTTATAAATGTGTATTTGATTTGATTTGTATTTAGTATTTGATTTTGCATTTAGCATTTGATTTGTTTAAGTTAGTTATTGCATTTATTGTTTATATTGTTTGATATTGTAATGTAATGTTTATGCCACAGTTGTAAGTTTAGCTTCCTGTCCAGGGATTGTACTGCCCGGGACGTGCAGTCCTTGGGAAGGGGGCAGTGTTACGAATTTGGTATTTAAAAAGCTAATGTTAGTTCAATTATAAATTAAATGGTTTTATTTCTCGCGCAGTGCAGCGCGTGACGAATATTAAAAGAAAGCTAAGCCGGAAAAATTAAAAATACAAGAGCGCGTGCATTAAATAAATAAATATCTCTTTTTGATTTCGAGAAAGTACTGGAAAATTCTAGCGCGTGATTTTAAAATCTTATAAAAGGAGGAAAACATCTCAGTTTGTAGTAGTTGCTGCTTAAGTTTGTTGTTGTTTAGAAAACTACTCTTGTTGATTGTAGCGAATTCGCGGATTAGCGTTCTTTAGCTGTTTTGAATTACGTTCTACTGGACATTTGAGTAGTTAAAAGATAACTACTGTGAGATATTGTAATACTGCATGATAATTTGAGAAAATTTAAGCATTTTTGTTGTGATAATAATAAATTTTTGTTCATTTTTCATCGGACTTGTGCATTCATTTAGTAACGAATCCGTACGCACGCAACAATATCATCTAGGTAGACCAAACAGGATTCGTAATGGCATAACTTTAAACTGCCAGATTCCTTGGCCGGTAGTGAACGCAGTTTTCTGTCTATCATAGGGATGAATTTTCACTTGCCAGTATCCGCTCTTGAGATCCAGAGTGGAAAACCACTTTTGTCCTAATTGGGTATCTAGAGTATCGTCAATTCTAGGAAGAGAGTAACTGTCTTTCTAAGTGACATTATTTAGTGTCTCGTTGCCGACAGAAAATCTTATCGAACCGCCTTTCTTCCGGACGAGAACTATAGGTAATGCCCATCGACTTGTGGATGGTTCGATGATGTCATTTTCTTGCATCTCCTTCAGAAGATTTCCAACCTCTTCCTGTTTTGCGAATGGCAGACTTCTGGGATGTTGCTTGATCGGAGAGTGATCCCTCGTATCAACTCGATGCTGTGTCCAGCGATGTTGTCGCTGGATTGTCAACATCCAAGGATGTTAGCCGCACAAAACCTTTTTTTGTGCGGCTAACAACATAGCTGGATGTTCTAGAAAATAGATATTCAAATTTAATTGTTTTCTCTGCCGTACGTCTTTGTTCGTAGGTTAAGTTTGCACTCTGCAGAAGTTCTTAAATTAATTTCCCAATTGCCTCAGTCGGAATTTCAGGTGGGGCTTTGTAAACGGGAGTAACTGGAGCGGATGCTGCCAGTACTTCACCCTTTTGGATGGTTCTCGGTATGTGGCTAACATTCGCCGATCTCACATGAATGAAGTCTCTCGAAAGGTCTGCTAATGTTAAGAGGTGACTAATACATCTTTTGGTTTATTTTCAGGTATTCAATTATTCCAAATCTGAAGCTATTGTTTTCTGTGGAGCCGGTTATTAATAATTCTGTCATCGGAGGGATGGTAACGTCTTTTTTTTGTTGTTACTTGGTGAGCTGAAGGAATGCTGTTTTTCATTTCAAACACAATTATATCTTCTTTTGCAGAGTGCATCTCATTATGTTTTAAGTCTAGTTTAAAGTCGTACTTCCGCAGAAAGTCCAGTCCGACTACTTATTCGTCCGAGATGTTAACGACGAAAAGCCAATTGCTGGTAGGTCTCACTTCTGAAGGTAACGGTGATGACAATTTTACCTTCAATCGGAATCTTATCACCTGTCACTGTTTGTAAAGTCCAACAAGGTGGAGTCCAGCGCAACGTTTCGTTCAAATCCCGAGCTACATCTGTTCTAACGATGGTTACATTTGCTCCCGTATCTATGATCATCTTACAAGGATACTTATTCACGTGCCCTTCGACGAACAGTAAGTTATCTCCGCCGCTCATTGAACTTTCAGAGAAGCTGTATCTCTGCCTCGCAACATCCTCCTCGGGTAATTGCCGCATTTTAGTTTCTCTGATTTTCCTTTGCGGGAGCTGTCTCCCAGTCTTGATTCACGAGACAGTTCCTGCGGAGATGTCCTTCCAACCTGCAGTTCCAGCATTTGATTGGCCCTCTTAACGCCTCCCGAATCTCTTTTATTTCTTCTCTGTTTTTTGGTGTCAAAATTTGGATCTTCTATTTGAGCCGCTCTAATAGAATGCGATCTTTTCGAATCGCTTATTGAACCGACTCGAACTTCATGGCGTAGACCAAGGCGTATTTTAGGTCTTTCAGATCCGCCAATCGGAGAATTCTGAATTTCCACATCCTTGACTGCATCGACGAAACGCATCAGAGCCAGATTTTCGCGGACATCAGATTAACACTCTGGATATGCTTGATGCGTCAACCTCTCGATATCAGTCACCAGTTCTTGAAAGCTTTCCGTGATTTTTTGCTGCCGAATTTTCAACTGCAGGCGATTACAGTCCTTTGCGCACTTTTCACCAAATCTCAGTTACAGCGCATTCGAGAGGGCATTGAAGTTTAAACTCTGGTCTTCGGAGAGGACTCCTAAGATGTCTGCAGCATCTCCTCGGAGTAATGCAGTCAACTGCGAATCCTTCATGTGGGAGTCCGACTTGTTAGTTTCCGCCACGATCGAAAACTAGGTCTTATGTACACTCCATGATGATTTTTCATTGTAGATACTTGGTTTGATAACCGTATGAGAAGGAATTGGGGGAACCTTGAAATCTTCAAATTCGTTCTTGGGTTCAGTCCAGTTTTCTTTCGAAACATCTACTTTCCGGAACTTTCTCAATTTTCTTCAAATCTTTTCTCCACAGCTGCTATTTTTGCTCTAGTTTCCTCTCTAAGTCCCACGATATCGCTTTTAATCTTATTTTGTTTCACGTCCATCTTTTCGAATTTCTCTTGCAGCTTTTACTTCTTCTTGTTCTGCTTTCTCTTCTCGCCCGGCTTTTATCTAAACTAACAAGTCCATCAAAGTTTTCGTTTCCTCTGCCATGGCATTTACTGGCAAAGCCTACACTATTTGTTGCGTTTCTGTATGTGGATTTTAAGTGATTAACGACAACACCTTGATGAAGAATGGAAACACAATTTATTAGCCGGTATTACTCAGGAAAGCTCCAAAAACACGTTTACAATCGTCGAAAAACTACGACAAACGCGCTGAAACAATCAGCAACGTAGGCTTCACGCTCTCAGGCTATAAGGGTGAAAACAGCTTCACGGCAAAGCACCAGAGTACAGCTGCCGACTCGGTTCGGTCGCTCTCAGAACTTAACGTACTCTCGAGACACTCCACCCTACAACTCGCGATACACTCAACGATGCACCAACTCGACAGTAGACTGATGATAAAAGTGGATAAAATACGAGACATTCGTGATCGATTAAGAGACTCTGACGAGACACACTAGACTGACCATCAACTTGCTAGATTAGGCACTGACTGACTCTCCGAGTAACAGCAGGATTTATATAGCTTTTGGCCTGCCTGTGTTCGAGAACATTTTGTGCCAAACCGGTAAGAATTCGTTCCGGAAGCTTCTCCATCCGTCTATGTCATATCGCCAATTTTTTCGCCAAGTGGGTGATTTCACGCAAATATGGCAGCCCTGCCTTTTCTGCCCTAAAACCGCTTTTCGGGGAAGCTATCTTACCGCGGCTGTGCATTTCGTAACATTATATATGTAGAACTGATTAGAAAAATGATTCCTTAATTTTAACGAAACTTAGCTATAATTTAAAATCTACTTATCTCTAATTCAGTATTTTTTGAGAATTAGTATGATATTGAAATATTTTATAATAAATAAATAGCGCCAGTTCTGAAAATTTTCATTCCATCACTCCATACATGATTTCAAAATTTACACAATACTAAAAATTCCATTTAAAAATGAAATTTAATTTATTTTATTTAATTCCAAAAGAAGCAAGGACACTTGTTTAGAATTTTTTTAGAATGATGGTATAATTTTCTATAAACTGGATCTCATATTTTAAATAAAATTATATTAATTCATTCGACACATTTTACATAAAATTCCCTACGTAAAATCTTTAAGAACTGTGCAAATTTTAAAAGAATCTGTCCACAGATCCCCATAAAATATTTACTTATATCTCTACAGAATCTCTCTACATAACTGTGTAGAAGCTATATCAAAATTTTGTAGAATTCTGCGAAAGATCTCTAATATAGTTCATAGAAAATTGGGCCATAATTCTAAATCAATTCCTCTTCTTTAGAAACTAAACACTTTTGTAAAAAGTGGAAGGAATAATTAACATTTTAGAGGGAAATCAATGAAATATGGAACCCTCTTTCAACGAAAACCTATTTCAAATAACTGAGTTTATGAAAAAATAGCTTCAACTTGTTTCTCCTCCAATGAAATAATGCAATTTGTACATTAATTCATAAAATATTAGTTGTTATGTGTTTGGACATAGTATCATTTTTCGTCTAGCGACTGTGCATCTCATTACTTTTCCAGATTTGCTACTGGCTGATTACGCATTCTTGGCTCCTCCATTCAATCATAGCCTCGATTCGCTGGAACACTGATGCCGATTACGTAATTGCAGAAGAAAGGGAATTGGTAGAAAATGCCCGCTGATTTTTTTCCATTTCTTTGGTCTAAAATTGACTTTTTGTTTTTGAAATAAAATATTGTTCAGAATATCTAAAAATTATATACTAAGTCTACAAAACGAAAAAAGCAAAATAAATAAAATCATGATATCTCAGAGCCATGTAGAAAGAAGAAGAAATATACAAACAGATAAATAAATAAATTATATATCTAATATCAAAGTGAATAAATAAAATCATTCTGTTTACAACTTATTTAAACAAAGCAAATAAATAAAACCCCACTATCTAAGGAGAATGTACAAAGAAGGAATGTACACAAACAGACAAATAAATAAATCCGACACAGATTAATGTAAATAAATAAAAATTAATTTCATTACTACTCATTAACAAACAAAGCAAATAAATAAAAAACATACCATTTTAGAGTAACCTACAAAATAGGAGTAATATAGAGACAAAATAAATAAACAAAAAATCTTGCTAGATAAGAGTGATATATAAGCAGAGTGAATAAATAACATACTATTTAAGAAAAGATGATAATTTTTTATTACCTACAAACGTGGTAAATAAATAAAATCATGCTATCTACGAGTAAGAATGATGCAGAGAAGTATACAAACAAAAAATTAATTAAAGTTAACTCTTTTACAAATTAGGAATAATATACAAATTAAATAAGTAAGTAAACTCTTGCTATCTAAGAGTAATATAAAAGCAAAGTTCAAATACAATAATATTATTTAAGGGCGACGAACAAACTAAAAATAGGGTAAAAACACAGTAAACAAATAAAATCGCATTATCCACGAGCTGTATATAGTTTATTTAATTATGGCAAAGCACTCGGGGGCTATCTGCCTAAGGGCAGGGATGCCTTCGTAGAGAACCTTCTACGGGAAACTGGGTCTTATACACTTTGAAGAAACCACGAAAAGTCACCCATACGATATAGTGGTTAGGGGACCCTACTGCGGTACTGAAAAGCCCGAATTCGAATTCCAGAGAAGACATGGATGTTTGTAAATGCATAGTGTCCGTGCGGCATAGGAGCACTCTAAATATGCGGCGAACCGAAAGTCCTGTCGTGTGGTTTGGTGGAAGGGGAGAGGGGTGGGAGTTACTTCTTTTATGACAGTCCTAATGCGGCCTAATAGGCGCCTATCGGAATTAAATGCTGCCCCGCCCTGGATCAATCCACAATGTTGCGACCCTGCATAACAAGGGCAGACAAGGCAGCACCAGTACGGTCCCTGTTGAGCCTTACTCTGTCCCGAGAGCCATCAGGCCTTCTGTGAAGTCTGTTATTATGCCCCCGTGGTTGAGACTGCCTAGGTACAGATCCTAACCAGTAATTTCCAGGCGTTCGCCTGAGTCAACACCCGGGGGGGGGACTTCTTTTATGACAGTAACCCTGTCATCAATTTGTTATTCTATGGCAGAAACTCTCTCTTGTATTTGTTCTTTTACAGATGAAACTCTTTCTTCTATTTGTTCTTTTACAAAAGAAACTCTTTCTTCATTGTGTCCCACTATATTTTCAACAGCTTCAATTCTGTCTTCCGTAGCCTCCAATTTGTTTTCTATTACGCAGGTAATTTCTCTTTTCATTTCCTCTTGATTTGTTTCAATCATATTCTTGAACAGCCTTTATTACTACTTTAACATATACTCGAGCAGCTTCTTTCAACATTGGGGTCGAAAATAAAAGTCCAACCTCTCTTTGAAGTAGACTTTGGCAACCATTGTTCTATATAATATGAACACAACAACAACAAAAACCACGAAACCTTGGGGAAAACCAAGAAAAGGCCCATGCAACCAGCCCGTTCGCGTAATTCAAACCTCGGACCGAATTACTACCAGTGTTCAGCGAGTTTACCGCTCAGCACCTGGTGGGTCAACTGGAATATATAAAATAGTAATTAAGTTATACAATCTAAAATTATATGCAGCATAGATAAATAAAATCATGAGTAATATAGAGACAAATTAAACAAGTAAAAACATGCTATCCGAGAGCAATATACAAAAAAGTAAATAAATTACACATAAAGAATATTGTGAAAACAAAGTAAAAAGGCTGATGTGGCCGCACATTACCTCCCGCCAATTTCATGTTTTAAAACAGTGGTCTCCAAAGTGATACAGTCAAAAGTCTTTAATCCGGACGTCCATAATTCGGAATGATCTATAATCCGGACATCAAAGCTAAAAACCTTCTGCACTTCGTAAACGCATAATGCGATTACGCATGCGCATAATACGTTTACGCATGCGCGTCTAATGTATAACGGACGGTATAAGCTAAGCTAAAATTATCTATTTCAGTTAATGTTGCAGATTGCGTTGTTCCTTAGTTTTCTAATTGGATTCGGCTTGTTATTTTTTGCAGACTGTTAGAGCAATTTTATAAAAGTAAGCTTGAACTTTCGATTATGTCAAAAAGAATTTCCGATTCTGGAGCTGCCAAAGGATCTACAAAATGAAAGCATGTTTCGATGTCCATCAAACAAAAAGTGGAATTGCTGCAAAAAAATAGATAAAGGCATATCCTTTTTTTCTAACCATTCCGAAATCTGTTTATCAATTTCACGCTGCTCGGGGGTGGGGGGGACATACATCGCGGCGGGCAATGAACTAGAAGTTGATCTGTGAGCATTATCCTTATCTTCAGGGCAGATGTTTATTCGGCTTATAATTCCTTACTAAATGTAGTATTTCATCTCGATGTATTCAGTCTTTGATACGATTTAAATAAAATTCCTCGTCATTATAAATATCACGAATACACTTCAAATAGTTTTCTGGTTGCAATTTTCCAATTTCGACTATGTAAGCATAATGTATGCTTTACGAATGCGCGCATTGAAAGAAATGTTTAATAAAGTAAACAAATAAATATAAAGCTTTTTTTTTTTTGTAAATTTTGATACCCTTTAGATCATAATTGCTCTTTATTTCATAAATTACGCTTTCATATTTTTAATTTTATAATTTCTGCATGCCGTCTTACCAGATTTAAATTGATGATCTATAATCCGGAAAAACCGATAATCCGGAATCGCCAAAGTCCCGACAAGTCCGAATTAAAGACTTTTCACTGTACTTGGAGATATGCCAAAGAAGTAGGCTCACGAATGCTTGCTTAGTGCATGATCGTGTATCACGTGAGGGCGAGGTAAATTTGCCTGTTTTTTTCAGTGATGATAAGTGACTTTTCATAGTATGCTACTTAAGTGATATTTTTGAAAAAGCAAACATGATCATCTATTTTTTCATTGAAAAGGTGACATTTTAACAATGATTGAGAAAGTAACTACATTTCCAAAGAAAATCGAGATCAGGTGGGAGAATTTAAGATAAGGAATCTTTATAAATATGTTTCCATCATTGTGTTAGTGTGCTTCTAAAAATGAAGTAAATGTGGAACAAATTTAAAGTCTTAGGTCTATACACTTAAACATTTTGGAGAAAGAATTTTGTAACCTTTTTACAAATCTTCTTAGTATTAAAACAGAGTTTCAATGGGTCATGAACTCATTGGCTGAAAATCTAAAAATAGATCATCTTTTGACTGCATCTCAACAATTAAAATAAAATACAAAAATAAATTAGAGTTAGAACCAGACCTTCTGATTACAATAACAGAGGGCATCAAACAGATTTTTCTCGTATTACTAAATAAATACAATCATTGCTCACATTCAATTTTATTTCAAAATTCAAATTTGTAATTTAATTTAAATGCACGTACATTGTTTAAAATAAATCAATAAAAATTAATAAAATCTGAAAGCTTTCAGCTATAGTATGCCCAAAGTGGTTTTTTTTTTTTTTTTTTTTTTTTTTTTATGTTTATGTTTTGTGTGTCACCTTTATGTATTAAGTATCATGTTCTTTACTTAAACCACATAAATTTCAATTCAACAGCAATGTTGCAAAATATTTAAAAATAGCATACCTTTAGAATTTCCGACGGATAATCTCGCACGCTGGAGATAAAAATGTACTTTCCAGTACAGTGTTGCCATTGCTCGCTTTGAAATCGTTGAGTTTGTTAATCAAATATCCGTTAAAGTTAAACAAAATGTGAAATAGATAATAAAACAGATTCGAAACTCGGGCGCCCAGGTGCCCATGTTAGGGTGGAGTATTACGTTATTCAAAATTTGACGGCTCTAGGTACCATCATTTTTTCACAATGCGAGAAGCATACATACATTCATGCAGATTCTTCATTATTTAATTTCTTTAAATACAATACAGTGTGATAAGATTTGGTGGCAATAATTTAAAAAGGGAAACGAACATTTATAATGAAACAATACCAAATGCTGTTTCAAAACTTATAGCCCTCCTGAGCTACCGCCTCTTTGGGCCAACAAATAATTTATTTCTGACTTGCATCATTACAGCCAAACACATGTACACACATGTATGTGTGTGTGTTCGCGTATGGCTGTAATTTTGGTATTCTTTTGCTCATTTTTCAATAAAGTTCTTTATTATAACACGTAAAACTAAGTCAAGGAATGTCGTTAAAATTTACAGAACACTTTTTAGCTGATCTCTTTTGCAAACAATATATATATATATAAACATATATATATATATACAGTACTAAGTCCGTTATCCAGGCGTCCATTATCCGGACCTTAAAACCACAAACTTTTTTTTTGTATGCTTTACGCATGCGCATACATTACGCGCCCTATACTTCCACAGTTATAACATCTTGGTTGGTTACTTTTATTAGGTATAGCGCGTGCTTTTTTTTGTGTGTTAGTACTTGAATAACCCTTATTCTTCGTATCTGGAACGCGGATTTTCTCATTGTTAATTTCTCTTTGAATTCAGAAATAGTTTTACACCTAAACAAAATAATTTGATGAAATAATAATGATCGGGTATTCCATTGATTACATAATTAAGAATTAATGAATCATCAACAGAACCGCGACTGGCTATTTTACGCATGGCAATTAAATATTCGGAAAGAAATTCACCAGGTTTTAAGTGTCGTTTAAGTCCAGACATAATCTAAATGAACCGCATTTTTTCTACTTAGCAAGATATTACATGAGTAATCAGAACAGCTTGGCTTAATGATTTGTTTTTTTAACCATTCTGAAATCTGTTTATAAATTTCACGCTGCTCTGCGGGGGAGGGGAGAACGTCGCGACGCGCAATGAACTGAATGTTGATCTGTCAGCACTATCCTCATCTTCGGGGGCAGATGTTTTTATTTTATTCGGCTTATAATTCCTTACTAAATGTAGTATTTCATCTCGTTGTATTCCGTCTTTGATATGATTTAAATCAATTTCCTCGTCATTATAAATATCACGAATACACATCAAATAGTTTTCTGGCTGCAATTTTCTAATTTCGACCATGCGTAATGTATGCTTTACCCATGCGCGCGTTGAAGAAATGTTTAATAAAGTAAACAAATAAATATTAAGCTTTTTTTTTGTAAAATTTGATATCCTTTAGATCATAATTGCTCTTTATTTCATAAATTACGGTTTCATATTTTTAATTGTATAATTTCTGCATGCCATCTTACCAGATTTAAATTGATGATCTATAATCCGGAAAAACCCCTAATCCGGAATCGCCGAAGCCCCGATTAAAGACTTTGTACTGTATATAAAATTTCAATGCCACTGAGATCCCCTGTTGTCTAGAAAGCTATCCTACAGGTGTGAGGTCAAATGTAGTTAAACTGAAGAACAGTTGATGCTTCCATCAATTAATCCATCTATTTTCTCTAGTTGTTTCAAAATAAAGTTCGGGATCTATGGTCCGACCATATGCATATTATTTCAAACGGACTTGCAGTCAAAATTCAACTAACAGTGATTTGTGCATATTTTCAGAAGTCTCCACATGGCCTTCTATTGAACTTTTGTTTCCAGTGATCTGCTTTTAGAATTAAATTCATTACATGTCATTATATTTCTGAATTTGCAGCTTCAAGATAATTTCGAAAAATTTTTTAATATCTTATGTATGTTGACTGTATTTACTGATAAGTCTTTATTATGTTGGATTGTAGTCACCGACTTTATAATACAGAGTTCCACAAAATTACATTAGTTATGAAACATCCCAACAATTTTAATGAAATCTAATAAATATCAATTTATCCATTAGGCTACATGAAATTTTAACTGTATGGTCGTCATAGGTTACAGAAGTTAAGTACATAAAGGAGACATTTCAAATAAAAAAGTACATTTAGTATCAGTTTCTTTCTTCGGCGTTTTTTTTTTTTTTTCCATTTAATTTTTTACACCAAATACAGTCAAAAGTCGTTAATCCGGACTCGTCGGGACTTCGGCGATTCCGGATTATAGATCATCAGTTTAAATCTCGTAAGATGGCATGCAGAAATTCTAAAATTAAAAATATGAAACCGTAATTTATGAAATAAAGAACAATTATGATCTAAAGGGTATCAAAATTTGCAAAAAGAAAAAGCTTAATATTTATTTGTTTACTTTATTAAACATTTCTTTCAATGTAAGTTGTTTAAGTTTTGCTTCGTTTCATGTGATAATACTTTCTCTTTAATTTATTATTAAACAGACATAATTTCTTGTTCAGTTACAAAATTCCGCTGTTCAAGTCCTATAATTGCTGTGTCTAGAACACCGATTAATTTGCCAATCGAAATTTTTTCGTTTTCAATAACCTCTGTCACTTCTTCGCTATCGAAAGCGAATTATAAGGACGAGGAACTTGTTTTAAATCATATCAAAGACGGAGCATATCGAGATGAAATACTACATTTGGTAAGGTAAGGAATTATAAGCCAAAAAAAATAAAACATCTGCGCTGAAGATAAGGATAGTGTTGACAGATCAACTTCCAATTCATTACGCGCCCGCCGCGGCGATCCCCCCCGCCGAGCAGCGTGAAATTGATAAACAGATTTCGGATTTCAAAACATACTTTCGCTTTAGATCCTTACATATTAACAATATATATCGGAAATTCTATTTGATATAATCGAAAGTTTAAGCTTACTTTTTATAAAATTTGCTCTTACAGTCTGCAAAAAATAATAAGCCGGATCCAATTCGAAAATTAAGGAACCACGCAATCATCAACATTAACTGAAATAGATAATTAGATTAATTTTAGCTTATACGTCCATTATACATAAAACGCGCACGCGAAAACGTATTCTGCACTTGCGCACACTCATATGCGCAGTCGTAAAAGGTCTTACGCGCACGCGTAAACGCCTATGCGCATGTGTCAACGCGGCGCATGCGCAGAAAGTTTTTAGTTTTGAGATCCGGATTATAGATCATTCCGAATTATGGGTGTCCGAATTAACGACTGTTGACTGTATACTTCGAAAACAGCTTGCAAAATTTAATTTTGTTAATCATTTACACTCGAAGAAAAAACAACTCTTCAGTGGAAACAGCTAATAAAAATAAAATTCTTCATGTCTTTGCGGATATGCATCGCAAGATTTCACTAAAACAGAGAAAACTAAGTCACACCTCCCAAAAAAGCAGGAGATTCCAGTATATTTTTTTTAAAAATGTGATCTGTGATTCATCTGAATTTTCGTTAATCTTTCTGCAAATCTGACAGTAGACTGCCAATGAATTTGATAATATTCTAGAAAAAGAAGTCTAAAACAAGACACTTAAAATTAATTAAATATCCCCAATAAATTCTAAAATTATTTATAAATTATCATGAGCATTTCTTTTCTTTTAATTTGTGTGTAATTTTTTTAAATCATGCATTTGTTTTTGTTAAATATTCATGATACATTATTAATTTTTAATGTGATGCTATTTAATTTTAGATATTATAAAGTTGGCAAAGAATGATAATCATCATAAAAATAGAAAATGTAAGAGATATTTTATAATTACAAATGCATATTATTCCTTTAAATGATTTAAAAGAGAAAATTTTTAAATTGAATATAGAAAAAATGTGCTTTAAATAACTTCAATTTGAATATAAATTCAACACTGAGCAAATAACATGTGATGATTTAGACACTGAAGCATAAAAATATTGGCAGTCAATGAGGCTGTTTGAACTTTTTTTTTTTTTTTTTTTGGACATTTGCTACAAATAACTTGGTGTGAAAAGCATACCCCTTCCTTATTGATTAAATTGGTACCTCACAGACTTTTTAAGTCTATTTGAAGCAGCAGTGTGCATTAGCAAATTAGAAAAGCAAAGCCAAACACATGATGTGTTCCAGATTATGGCTTGGTTCAAAGTGATTTAGTTCAGATGTCACCATCAGCTTAATCTGAACTAAATCATTGGCTGAAGCCTTACGTATATGCCTGCATCATACGACAAAAAGAACAAAATTAATTTTGAAATGACACAATTTAGAGGTTTATTATAAGCAGGTTGTTTATTATAAGAGGTTCATTATAAAGTTCTTATAATACAACAATGACTTCTTCAGCAGATATTTAATTAAAGATGAAGGACATCCGGATCAGGCATTAACTCCGAGATTGAAATTTCTAAATTTTAATTTCTCAAACTGTGTCATCAGAAAGAACAAATTCTCAAAATACTTTCCAAATTTTATAAGTTGTTCTAATCTTTTTTTTTTTTTTGATATAAAAGAATACAATAAAGGTTTGACTCTCTATTTTTGACATGTACTGAAAAGAAAATAATGTCACACACAAGTGAAATACAAGTAGGAAAAACCATTTATACTTATCAACTAAAATAAATTAATTCTTTATTAGCAGCAATAAAAAATAGGCAGGACAACTAAATGGAAATGAAAAAATGAAGAATGTTTTGAATGATCCATTATAATTATGCCCCACCTATCTACCATATAGACCCATTCCAAAGAAAGGGAAGCTAAGAAAAGGTTGTACATAAGTTACGCAGCAAGATGAGCCATAAGCATGTGTCTTAATTACAAGTCCACATTACATATATGTTAATTATAAAAAAGGCCATGAAATAACAAAAATCTTCATGAACTTCAAATTTGCTCTTTTGACTAATTAACTAAATTATTTTAAGGTTTTTGAAAAGTCTCTTGTTATTACCAACCAATGTTCACATAACAAAATACTCAAACTTAATTGTCAAACATCAAATTGGAATATTTCAATATTGGGAGTAGAATTGGTACTTGCATATTAACGCCACCGCACTTACGTATTAACGCTACCGCAGCAGAAGTTGCATTGATACGCCAATAAAGAACAATCCTGTTTTTCGCATGCAGTTATCTTTTGGATTCCTTTTTGCCTTGATGTTTGCTGATTTTTGACGCAATTTTTTAGTACTCTGAAAATGCGTCTTTGGGATTTGCCAAACACAGAAGAAGATGCAATTTTAATTTTTCAGGAGAGAAATATTTTACCAAAAAAACAAAACGGTACCAATTCGCATGATATGAAACTTTATTTTGGTAAACGTACGTTTCGGAAATGTAATTTAAGACAGTGTGATCAGCAAGTGGGACTTAGAAAAGACAACTGGTTTGAAGGAAGAAGAATTCCATTTTGTTCAGCTTTAAGATTCATATACTGTTTGTGCGAGGAGTTGATGTCGATTACATTTTGTGAAAAGCAACTTGATTTATCGAATAAAACTGTTATAGATTGGAACAATTACATGCATAAATTATGTGTCTTGGATATGGAGAATAAACCAAACAAGAAGGTAGGTGGACTAGACTGCATTGTGGAAATTGATGAAATTTGTTAACTAAGAGTAAAAATAATTGTGGTCGAGTATTAACCGAACAGTGGGTATGTAGAGAAACAAAAGATTCGTTTGTTGTCACTGTTCCAAATAGAACTGGCTCTACCCTTAATAAAATTATTGAAAACATTGCAGATGGTAGCACAATTTATTATAACAGTTGGAAAGGTTAGCAAACAAATAGACTAGGAAAAGAAGGATTCCCACAAACTAAAGTTAATCATAAATACAATTTTATTGATCCTGATACAGGAGTTCATACAGAAACAGTTGAGAGAATGTGGGGTAGTGCTAAATGGAGGAACAAGAGACATAGGGGGACAGCAAGACATCATTTAGAACTTATTTAGCAGAGTTCATATGGCAACATAATCAGGTGAAAGAAAATAGAGACTGTTTTAAATCTATGTTAAACTCTATATCGGCCCATTTTCCACCGAAAACCAATTGACTACTTTGATTTTAAATAAAGTGTTTTAATTTATGATTTGTCACAAAATTTTAGGTGTAGATTGGCAGCACTTAAAAACCGCCAAATTTGAAGCTGCGGTGGCGTTAATACATAAGTACCGTAGAATTAATATAACTTCTTAATGTTTTATAGGAACATTATATAGGAACAATACTGATTATCACAATCAGTCACGTAAACATTTAATGGAATGATATATTATGACTTAAGTACTAATAAATAGAACAGCAAACTCCAATTATTAATCACATTCTATCCTGATAGATAAATTAAGCTCTGTAAAATAAATAAAAAATTCTATTCTTTTTACAACAAGATATATTCATCTAGTATAGACATATAATTATCTATTCACAGACTAATCATCATACCTTCCCATTTCAGCTTGAAAAATTATATTGTTAATTAAATGTTCAACTATGGATTTAGCACGTGGACTGCTAATTCTGCGCAGTTTACATGCAATATATTCTCCAAATATATCACATTCATCCTTTTTTCTAACATCAGTGTCTTCAGATTTTTTGCTTGCAAGTGATGTCTTGCTTAGACTAGATGAAGTAAAACTATAATTTTTCTGTTTCTTTGAAGAGCTGGAAAAACCACATAAACTTGCAACTTCAATTTCTTTCAAAGTATCATCTAAATTAAATCCATCTTCTGAAATCAGTTCATCATTTTCTTCAAAGTTTGTTTCATTAGATACTGAATTAATAACAGGCACTTCTTCATACTGCGTCGATGTTGTTGGCTCTTGCTTTATCTAAAAAAGGAAAAATTACTGAGAGTTAAAATCAAATTATTTTTTGCTGGTTAAATAAAAATAAATTTTTTATGCATAGATTCATATAAAAATTTTAAATTTTGGAATTCACAGATAAAAATTATAAGGAACACTAAAGTTGCATAATTGTTATTCTTGATGCATAAGTCTTTTGATTAAGACTCATCAAAAGAATATTATTTGGGTTTTATGAAACAAATTATGAGGGTTGTTTTTTGTTCAACCTCTGATCGCACAGTATGATGCCCAGGCATGCGGCAGGTGGTTGGTGTGCATAGTAGGTGACTGCGCATCTCCCTCTCCACATGCTCTGTCACTGTCGAGTTCAACACACCATTTCCTGTTGAGTTGCAGCCATTTAAACATGGCTATCACTATTGACTCTCCAGTTAAGTATGAATTGCGAGCTGTTATTCGTTTCTTGCAGGCAGAAGGAAACATTGCAGCGGAAATTTATTGAAGAATGAGTCGAGTGTATGGAGACAGTTTTATGAGTGATGGCATTGTTCGTGAATGGTGTTGAAAGTTTAAAGATGGCCAAATTGATGTGCATGATGAAGGGGATCAAGGACGCAAGTCTGTCGCTACAGATGTCACTGTTCAATGAGTTGACCAAACGGTTAAGGAAAATCGAAGGTTCATCATAAGTAAATTATCGATGAAATTTCCGGAAGTTTCAAGATCTTCACTGTACTGTATTGTTACTGAACAGTTGCGCTACAGAAAATTTTGTGCTCGTTGGGTCCCACAGATGTTGACTGATGACCACAAAACTTGCCGAATGGCTGCAGCGGCGGAGTTTCTTGGCTGTTGCAATACTGAGGGAGAAGATTTTTTAAAATCCATTGTGACAGACGATGAGACATGGGTTCAACATAACACGCACGAAATGAAATGACAATCACAGCAATGGACGTATACAAATTCTCCAAAGAGACCAACAAAATTCAAACGAAATTTCAACAACCATAAGGTTATGGCAACAGTTTTTTGGGACCGAAAAGATGTGCTACTTGTGAAGTTTATGCAGCCTGGAACAACAATTAATGCAGATTCATACTGTGAAACTTTGCGATGCTTATGGAGAGCTATTCAAAACAAATGATGAGGCATGTTGACTTCTGAAATAGTTCTGATACATGACAATGCCTGCCCTCGCGACACTCATGCAACCCAATGGCTCCTTCAGCAATTTCAGTGGGACATTTTCAAACATCCACCACATAGTCCCGAACTAGCGCTGAAAAACTTTCATCTTTTCCCTGAACTGCAGTGGCTTGAGGGGGGCAGTGCTTCCAAAATGACATGAAGCTCAAAGAAACCATCACAACTCACTTCCAGTCACTGGCGGGACCATTTTATGAAAAGGGTATTGCAGAGTTTGTTCACAGATATGACAAATGCTTTAATCGTCAAAGCGATTATGCAGAGAAATAACCTGTATTGTACATTACTTTTGGTAATAAAATCTTCTTTGTATATTCACTCGTCTTTTCTTCAGAGCCCATTGGAGGTTGGAAAAAAACATAGCCTACGTACATAACTAACCAAAGCAGCATAGGATATTTTTAAATATGAATATGCAATATGATTATGAATGAAGGATCACTGTTTTATTGAGGCAAATATTTATTTGAGATTACTCTTAAAAATAAACTTAAAAAAAAAACTGAAAATAATGTTTTTGCTTACTTGGAATACTTGCTACACAAACAAACAACTTGTATCAAGTCTTCACCCCCCTGCATTTAGAATTAAAATAAATAAATAAATAAAATAAAAAATAACATTGAAGCATGGTTGTGCAGATTAAAAAAAAAGAGAAGTTTTCAGATTTTTTTATATTACACCCAAACGGGCGTTTTTTTAACGTTTTGTTTGTTACGTATAATTATTAAATATCATGTTCTTCACAATTAAACATAAAATTCAATTCAACAGCAATATCAAAAACTATTTACAGGAGCATATCTTTAGAATTCTGATACACAGTCTCGTGCACTGTAAATAAAAATGTCCCCCCCCATACAGTGTTTCCATTGCTCACTTTGAAATTGTTGAATTTCTTAATCAGAAATTTGTAACTGCTTTACAAAATATGTAATAGATAATAAAACTAATTCCAAATTTGGATGGAGATGTACATTATTCAAAATTTGATGGTTCTAGATACCATTGTTTTATCACAATGCGAGAAACATACATATATTTATGCAGATTCTTCATTATCTAATTTCTTTAAATATAATATAGGGCTCTAATATTTGGTGGCAACAATTTAAAAAGTGATTTGCCATTTATACTGAATCAACACAAAATACCAAAGTGAAATGGCTAAAAAAATATCCGAACTTTCATTTTGAGTTTTTTTAATGCAATTGAAAAAAGTCGTTTCTAATATGGTATCTATTCATTCTTGTGTCAATAATAACACAATAAAGAAAATATTTTAAAGCATCTTGTGTCTGAAAATAAATGCATTACTAAAAGCATCCTCTGGAGTAACACATCTTTTAATCATATATTGCATTTAAAAGAACTTATGTAGAGGGTGTTTACACATTTTTAGAACAATTTCAACAAACATTTAAAACAGCAAATGTTTTGGAATAAAAATTTCTGGCAATAGCTTATTTGAAATGAGAAATATTATCTTTAAATTTATTCTTCTTTCAAAATGTTGGACGTAAAAAAGCTGTGGATTGAAAGATACAATTTTGAGCTTGCCAAAGAAATATATTCCTATTTTATAATTCACAAACACTGTGAAATGTATGGTATTAAAATTTCTAAGTGCAAAATAAGCAACATTATTAGTCCGAAAGATGAAAACCATCAATAATTACTTCTACGTGGAAAGATAAATCCAAATAGACTCCAGAAAAAGATATGTACTGTTTCTAAAGTTATATTGTTCATAACAAGAAAAAAATCTAACAATACAGAAATCAATCAATCAATCAATGCTGGTATTGCCGGAGAATCGCTGTTGTGATGCGATGTTTCCGACTCGATGATAAATAATGCCGTAAGGCGCATGACGGCAGAGAGTCCAGACGAAAGTAGGCTTGGCAGGGAGGAGGAACCTATGACGTGAAAGGCAGAGAGAGAGAGAAGTCCAATTGTGACAGGTAGCAGTAGATGCAGGAACCAACACCTCCTAGAACTAACTCAGGGGGTGCTGCAGAAATACAGAGTCCATCAAGTGATGCCCTCTTGGGAGCCCTAGATCGCTAGAAAGTAAAAACAATTAAGTTCAAAGCATTCATCTTACTAAGAGTAGCAAACTTAAAAGTCCATTTTCACCATCTGTTACATGACGCCCAGAGCAAGAAGAACTTTTTCTTGGGGCAAGTTAATTCTTTTGCACTTTTCTACAAATTCAATACACTTGCAGACTAGGAGTTTAACATTTTCATCCAATTTGAAATCTGCTGGGATGAAATTTGCAGCATCAGGTTGTGAACTTGGATGAGAAACATCATCATTTTTCACAGCTTTCTCAGGCACCAGCGGGATTATATCAGATTTTTGTGGCTTGGGAGCTTGAGGGAACTTCTTAGCAATCTTTCTTTCACAAATCTTGGGTCTGAATTGGCATGACTTCGAGGACGCGGTGTTATTCGTCTTGCAGTGCACACAAGTAGGCTTTTCATCTTTCTCAATTTACAAGTGTAGGTCAGATGCATTTGCCCACACTTTAGATATCTTGGTATTTTATTACAAAAGGTCTGTCCATGGCCATAGCGTTGACATCTAAAGCACATTAATGTTCTCTGATTGCATCGATATCTTCTAAAATTAACACGTAGGTCAATTAAAGTCTTTTTTGCGGTAAATCCTTTGGCTTTTATCATCTCGCTTGAATGAGGTGTAGAAAACTGGTAGTTTAGTCGTAATTCCATCAGTTTTTTGGGTGAATTAAGTGACATTTAACATTGGAAAACCATCATTTTTTAGCTCCGCTACAATACCTTCAATCGGGGAGTCTTCTGAAAGTACGTGGATAACTACTTTGAGAGGGGAATCCTTCTTACTGCTGAAAGTGCTAAATTGCACTTCGTCTTTCATAAGAATGGCGAGCGCTCTATCACGATGATCTGAGGAGTCGAAGAATAGAGTAATTCTATCTTTCGCCAGCATACCAGTGAAACTTTTCACTCCATTTTTTGAGAGGAGTCTTCGTAACTCATTCCATTCTACCTCAGATCTGGGGTAAAATGTGGGTGGCAGTCTTTCCTTTATTGAGTCAGTGACAGGAACAGAATTCGAGTGATTTTTATCTATTTCCGTCTCGTTAATGCAGTCTATGGGCTCGGCGGCAGTAGGAACAGATGTCAGGACTTCGAAGTTATTTGTCGTACTAATCACTTTAGCAACATCTCTCGCGGGAGTCGTTTTAGTAGGATTCTTAGCTTCCGGAGCGGGAGTCAAGTAAATCTTGGCAGTTTTGGTGGGAGTAATCCAACCTTCTTCATCAGTCGATTTAGAAGTGGTATGGACATCTTTCTGAAAAGCAGCAGCAGAATTCTGCATTTTTTCAGCTCGTCTTCTAGGTCATTCTTTTATTCTCTCATTGAGTTCCTTAACTATGGGATGATTTCTACCAAAATCCTTCAGAAAATTTCTATCATAGAATTGTTCTCGAGCTTCATGTTCTTGATTGATAATAGCCCAGAAAATATTTTCAGTTTTCCTTAATGCAGCCTTCACTGACTTGCTTTCTCTAAGTTGAATCTGCAACTCATCAACAATTTGCAGAGCCTTCCATAATTCTTGATTAGATTACGTATCATTTTCATGAGCACCTCCAAATCGCATAAGTCTGGCCAATGACGACTGAGCGATGCTCGTTAGGCATAGCAGCAGCGAATCGAGCCGAAGCAGGAATGTACAGCTAACAAATCAAGTGGTGCAAGCCAAATCAGAGTATAAGAGACAGGGAACCTTTACGTGTGAAGTCCACCTCCCATATGATA